TACATATACAGCTGCCTTTACATAGGCTAGGCCTATACACATAATAAAGGCAATATTTTTATATGTAGCTTATATCCTTTACTTATATATGTAGCTCTATATTAATTTATTTGTTTTATGTTATATCTAATATAAAATCTGTATAAATATAAGTAACATAATACAAAAATAATAATAATACCTTTGCTATTATATTATTATAAGAATATACCAGAATGATCTATACAATCAGACCTACGACATCGAATCAACAATTAATGGTATATTTATTATTATAGTTTAACACCACAATAACGTACAACATTTGCTTTGAAATTTTGAGCGAAATTTCATTCCAACGGAACAGTGAAATTATAATTTCACTGTTCCCTGATTCCAATAATGCGTTATTATTTTCAATGTGAGGGCGGGCGACAAAAATATACAGACGTCAAGTAACATTCGCTAGAGCTGCGTCCGACTCAAAGTACTATTTCATTGGCATTAGTTTGGTTCCATTATTTTCATTTTGATTTTATTTATGGTGAACGTCATTTCAATATTTGTAAAGTGTATAATTATCAAGCACTTAATAAAAATCTTTCCCTAAAGTATGCATACGTACATAAAATGTTGTATTATCATCATTATGCAGTTACTATCCTGTCTTGGTAAAATTCCACCAGTTTTCACAATAATATTTTATATTGAAAAATTTCCTTTAAGTAAAACCAGTATGCTTTTTGATGTAAACATTTTTAAACTGTCAGTTAGCATCGTCAGTACGTCTTGGAATCCCACGTAAGGTTCAATCTATTTCATACGATAGTGGTAGCGCCAGTCACAGAACAATTGTACTGAAGGAAGTAGCAACAACCAAGTCACAATCGTATTGTAGCGAAACTGTTTACACCAAAAAAAGTACTGTAGACATACTGGTTAAATGATCAGTGGTGGATTCAAGAGGGGGAGGCAACTAGCCGCCCCATATTTTTTTTTCTTCAAAATAATAAAAAGAATGAAAAAAAAAGTAAATTATATTAAAATTTAAATCTGAGATTGCCATTTCCAGCCAACTACAGGTACTATAATCTTGGGGCTGGGGTGGTGTAGAACCACACCTGTGAAAGTCAATCCCTGTGGCCTTTAGTGGCGTGGCCTTAGTGGTGGCTCTAGGGGGGAGGGGTCTAAGATGTCCTACTGGGGGGATAAGTATTTATGGGTGTAACTTAGCACGCAGCGTTACCTGAGGGCCGAAGCCCTGAGCCAGTGGTGGGTATGGGAGGGGTGTCCCCTCCTCTCAAAACGAGATTTAAAAAAAATTGTGACTTCTAGATGGCCGGAAATGGCTGGGATGGGAAAACTAGGCCTATTTTTTTTTGTTTTTTTGGTCTGACTGCCCGACGACCTTTGGCCCGATGGGGGGGGGGGGAGATAAATTCCCCCCCCCCGCTGGCGCCGCCACTGTGTGGCCTCTCTATTCGAATTCCTGAAGAATCCGGAACACATATTGGCCTAAATACTAGACTTGTAGATCGACCTCTAGAAAACCAAATTAATTGGGCACATAGTACACGTGTTTCTCCACCTTTTTTAGGTGGCGACCCACTTTCAGAATGCATATTCTGTGGCGACCCAAGGCATATAGGCCTATTGTCATACCAAAATGATATTGTCATGTCATGATTACTTAGCCCCACAAGCCATCAGCCTCAGCTAAGTTGAACACAAAGTAGTAGTGAAAAAACGTTTCGATTTTTATTGACTTAAACAAAGTACATATGACCTTTTGATTGTTTGCTGAATGTTCAATTTTGTAACATGGAGGAATGACTGATCCAGTGATTCGAAATGGAGGGGCTTTCACAGATAAGGTTTTAATATCACCTTAGCCCCATCATGGTTGGGGCTGAGGTAAGAAAATTTATGATTACGGCACCTCTAGTTGGCCGGAAATGGCACTCTCAGTTGTTTAAAACAATGACTTGTGCGACGCTGACTGGGCAAATATAACTTTTTAAAAAGAAGCTTGTTACGTCCCCACCCACTCCTAAAAAGGATCAAACGAACTCAAAAAGCAAGAAGCAACTAATTATTTTTTTTTATTAACTGGCACGTCTTGTTAATGTGAGGTATGTTCCTGCCTAATTTTAATTGTCGACAGTGCAATCATGACAGTTGATTCTAGGTAAATTTGGGTTGACAATAATTTCTAGCTTTCGACTTCGTAGCTAGGGTGTATCTCTTAAGTTGAGCCTTTTTTTTGTAGGACTGACCGCTAAGTATATTGCACTATGTTTCGAGATGGGCTTTACCATTTTTTTTTAAAGTCAGAAGCAATCTTGCGATCCTCAGAAATGTTTTGGCGATCCAAATTTGGGTGGTGACCCATAGGTTGAGAAGCAGGGCGGTACAGTACCTATAATTATGCCGTTATATATGCTTCCTTTTCATTCTGAACGTGTGGAAGATTTGATAAATAGGATATAGTATTGAGTTTCCTTGAAAAGCTGAAGGAAGAGGGCGGGTTTCCTGAAATTTGTAAGTTCCTGTTCGGGACATTCCAGCAGAGTACCGTAAACAGCATGAGGCAAAACACAACCACGCATATTATTAGGCCTTTTTAAATAATGTTATGATATCCATGGATTACAGGAAAATTATGACGTCACAAACAGACGTTGATCTGCATTTTTCGTTGACTTGCCAACGCCCTTTGAGTTGGATTGGGTTTTTTCGTTGTTAAATACATCAAGGACAGTCAAACTAAAATCTTAAGTCAAGACATTCCAGTGGGGTCCTTCTGGGGGTGAATTGGTCAGTAAACAATCCCCTACCTTTTTCTGAAGAGTGTAACGTGCACAACACCATTAAAGAGCAGGAGGCGCGGGCGCCTAAACAAGCCCACTGACGGGAGCTTTTTTGCAGTAACAAGCGGTGTTTAAAGCTTAAGAAGATTATATTATTATTATTATTATTATTATTATTATTATTATTATTATTATTATTATTAGCTTATTATTATTATTATTAGTAGTAGTAGTAGTAGTATTACCATTATTATTATTAGCCTATTATTATTGCTATTGTTATTATTATTATCATCATTATCATTATTAAAGTATGTAATTAAATTAATTGAAACGCTATTGCAATAAATACAATATAATGTAAACGATAGGATGTTACAATGTTGAAAGATAATTAATATTCATAATAAAAGTTATTGGTTTAAATCATCATATTTACCGTCATCTGGAAAGCACTAAGAGAATATAAATCAGAAGAAGGTGGGTTATACATTTCGGTTATTACGTTTGTTTTTGTGGTGATCACATTCTGCTTCCAATTTGAGGACGGCTTCGAAATTGTGTGTAGATTATGGTGAGAAAAGAAATGAAAACAGTGTTGCTTAGATACAATTGTTGGCGCGGGGCCAATGAGTATCAATAATTTATATCAGTTGTTTCTGGACTTTCAGTTTGATTTCTCTAATCACAGTATCTGTTGTACGATGCGTGCAAGATACTGATAATTTCAAAAACTTTCGTTATAAGATAGCGAAGAGCGTGGCGCACCAGTCGCCGTATCAGTAAAAGTTGCTAAATTGAAACCACATTAAAAATAAAACCCCGACCTAGAATTACATAGATGGTCATGGTGTAAGCTGTAATGCCTCCCAATAAGCTTCAACAATTAAAAAAATACGATTTATAATTGCTCATTTAAAATAACCAACAAATCACAGTTTCTACAGAAGTTTTACTACTAAAATATCTAATTGCTGGTAGAAATATAATGCACATACAGATTACATAGGAATGGTAGGCCTATTATTTGGTAATTAGCAAGAGGAAAGCGAATAACAAAATAAGTAATTCATTATATTATGATAAATTATTACAAATAAACTAACATATTTAAGGCCCAGTCAGTAGAGTTGACTGGTGCAATAATAATATCCTACAATGTAACAATTACAAGCATGGAGCTCACGTATGAAATCATTTGTAATTTTAATAGGCCGAATTATTGATTACAATCAAATCCTATATATGCCGAGCGTGTTTTCTTTGTTCAATAAGGCTTTCGTTTTCTTGAATAATAATAGAAAGATAAATTAAATATCCGGATTTATTGTTATATGATTATATTTTTAATTTAGTTTTTCATTTATCTGAACATGTTTTACATTTTTCCTCCCAATTCTAGGACTCAAGCCTACTTTCAGAATTTCTCATAATTTATAATGGGTTATATTTTCGTAATAAGTGTGCATTTTGATTGGAATAAAGTTTTGTTTTTTTGTGAGTTCTTGTAATACCGTCCCAAAGCTCAACACTTTTGTCGTCTTGCTCTCCATTGTAAAATCTATATATATGCCTATTTACTTAGGTTCTTGAAATGATCTCTGGTAAACTTTTTCTATATATAGGCCCTATAACTGTCTCTTATACACATCTAGATGTGTATAAGAGACAGATATATATATATAATGCTTTTAATTTTCTGTTTATATAAGTTGCATGGCAAGCACAACTCTTAAGTGTATCACTGTGCAATATATAGGCCTATAATAAGTTGCAGTCAAGAAAACATACGGTACTCAAATCTCATTTTGTTCGCCTGTGGCGAAGATTTATTATAACTTTTGTTCTCGTGTACAAAACTCGAAGTGGCGCTTTATAACAAACAAACACACACACACTTACAGAAAGAATTCAACAACTTCAGCATTGCAATAAAGTTACGTGAACGGTAGCACCAAGAACACTTTGAACTTTGACCTGAATCAGAGTCACGAAGTTCCGTGGAAATGGAGTAATCGTGATATTGTGCTAGTTCTATATCATCTAAAGCGTTGTCATTATTAAATTAATACAAATCTGGATATATTGAAGCATAGGCCTGCACGCAAGCTGAGAGTCGATGCCAACTGGAGGAAACCGTTAAGTGAGGCCTACACAACACCTAAGTTAGGAGTTGATAGAACGTGTTTACACCGAGAGACACCTCCTGTTTGGAAATTTCAAGACTCAACTATCAAGTCAAGTATATAAATTAATCCGCCATAAAATATAAACCCTTTGTATAATCACACAACCCTGTATGGAAATGAATACCGGTATAGGTATATATAAATAAATATATAAATAAATATATAAATATAAATGTATACATATATATTCAATTTATACACACACATATATATATATATGTATATATACATATATATATATATATATTATATATAGTTTAAAAAAACATAAAAGAAGATTTAAATATTTTTGTCTCACAATATAGGAATACAAAATTTGAATCCAATTTTCGGACATAATTAATAATACAAATGAAATACTATTTTGTCGTGTTACAGTAAGAGCACCTGGAATTAAGAAGCATCGAATACATAGCGTCCATACAGAAAACGTCTTACTAAATTTAAAGCGATAGAGCATGTTATCTGGAGTATAATACAGTATTCCTTGCAACCAAATGATTCATTGACGTCATCAGTTCTTGTGTCCATGACCTCATCCTTAAGCGTTATCTGACAGCAGGGAATATCGAGGGACTCTCGAAACCAGCTGAATACTAATATTAGATGATAGCATATCTAAGATACTGGATCCGTTTATCAAAAAGAAACACACTTGTAATAACCACAAGCAATCAGAAATTAGTACAAGAAAGCAGAAAAATGACGACATATTTGTAATTAATACGATAATTCATGCCCATATGTATCGAATTACTATGTTATATTCGTAACAATTATAATTGTTGGTAGAAATTGGCATTATAAATTATGCAAAATACACACAGTAGAAATAGATAAAGAGTTGAATATAACACAGTGATCTAGATACGCTAGAAATCCATAGCAATAATAGTGCACTCGCTGAGAACGTGACATGGTGCAGTTGTTGAATAGTTCCTAAACGATCTCCAAATTGCCGCGCGTCCGGATGCGTTTTGGTACGATGTAGTCGACGCGAAACAGAGGCATTTGACTGTTAATCAACTACTACAGTAACAAATTGGTGCAACGATTTCATTTGGATTTCAACCACACATAATATATAGTTATAAAAACAAAATGGCTAACATCCACACATGTTTCGTACTTGTTTCACAAGTTCCTTATTGGCTTATTTATTGGCCTAACTAAAGCACGCGGGTGAAAAGCAGAAACGGATTAATAAACAATGACTCCGATGTACCGCAATCTGTATATGCATAGTTTCATCAAGCTTCCTGTGACCTAATTTCATACCGATTAAAAATGAAATTATGAGAAGACTGATAATCCAACTGCAATATAATCAAACCCAAGCCGAAGAAACTAACCGGGATAAGACGTCATGTGACGTCATCGTGACGATATAGCATTTTAGGGTCATCTTACACTTCACAAAAAATTATAATCAAATATATACTATTTGGATTAATGGCATTGATAACATCACAAACTGAGCGTTCGGGAAGTTGACTTTTTCCAGCCCCATCAAGCCGAACCCGTAGTAAATTAATATACTAAATCAAACATTAACCCCAAAAACATTTTCATGCAAAAGAACAATAGTCGATATAAAACACATTATCACAAACCACACCTGCAAGTTAACTCTTGATCCGGTTAAAAACCTGAACGACTTGAGACAACACCACCTCGCAACAACGGCGCCACCAACGGCGAAATAACATTTCTCATACTCGAATAAAATAGGAGTTTACACAACGACCACTTAAAATCTACATAGGCCTAATATACATCATATGATTAAGAGAATTCTCAACACAATAATATGTACAGGTGATTCTGTGGATACTTGGTATCCAATAGGTAATATTTTTACTATATTTTTACAAAATAAATTACATTACGCAAGATTACTTTTGTAATGGTGAATACCATGTTTCTACTTTGTAGACGAATCATTTAGATTTTAATTACAGCGTACTTAACAAGTAGAATGTATTCACTCAGGCTTAGTGATTTGACGATAAATTGAAAAAATAAGACAAATGTGCTAACATATAGAATCCGTATACTGTACACCGACAGGTAGTCGGGCTGAGGGTGGTATCTCTCAAGTTACAAAAACATAGAAGCTTATACAAAAGATATTAACAATTCTAAAACAGGCTTGGTAGTTAAACATTAAATACATGAATGAGATATATATAATATATATATAATCCTACACTACAAGCCGAACTTATCAGTAGCATTTTATTTCCGTCGGTGCGTCAATGGTAATAACTTTTAATATCTACATTAGAGATTAAACTGCGACCAACCATCATGTTCTTCGATAGACTGCTTTGAAGGTACGGGTAGCAAATGGGCAAGTTCGGCAGGCAGCTCGATGCTCGGATCGGCGTTGAGTCGCACTAGTTGTTCTACGCCTGCTTCGTGTAGCACGCGTAACTCTGGTAGTTGTAGCAACATTCGTGATAAAAACGCTGATTGGCCACTGTGGTTGAAGGTAACGTGATCATTTAAACATTTGATGATTTTGTTCTGCAAGGCATCGACCTTTGCGGGAATTTTGAGTCCATGACGATCTAAAAAAAATATATATATATTCATATTTTATGTTACATTGCAATTTGGCAAAAGAAACTAGGCCTATTATATATTCGTTTCTATATTCAACGCTGGCGTCACAACCCCTTTAACACAATTTAAATCGTGTTTGTGAACAAAACTAAAGTGAAGCCGGGCAAATACTGCGCCGTAAGGCGGTCGTACGATTGACGGCCGACGTGAGGTCTTGACGACGCGGCGCCGTCTGTTGATTGTTGTTGGATATTTGAGCGGATCGTCATTAAAAACGATCTATTGCACGTTTAGTTCTCTATAGGATCGCTTCGGCCAAAGACCAACGAGAGCAGTGTGTGCCCCGGGTTCTCGTTCCTTTGCTTTCAGATTTATCCCGAGACAAACTTTTAATTTAATAATAATCATTATCAATATCATGATTATTCAAAGAGCTTCAAATGGTTTCCCTGGTCATTTGAAACAAGAAACCATATACAATGTGCCGGTACCCTTAATAATTACACAGCTAAAAAAATATCTTTTACTAATAGGAGTATAATAACAACGAATAATGAATAATTAATAAACAAATAAATCATAAACAATAATTAATAAATACTGAACAATAAACAATTATTTTCATAGTCATCATTACAATGGCGTATCTAGGGGAGGGCGCCCCCAGTCCCCCCAAAAAAATCACGGTCAAGTAGTTAAAATTTACCTAAAATCACCATATTTTTTATCATCGAGCCCCCACTTCGCCCCCCCATCACCCCCCTCCCATTTCAACTAGATACGCCACTGCATTATAATTCCTAAGCCCTTGAAATGATGCCCTCTGGTCATTTATTCCACCCACCGTCACCTTTTAATTACATAGCTGATAAACATACCTGTTACTAACACAAGAGCACAGAGACATGAGAAGGATGAAATGTCGATCTCGAGGCTGTGGAGAGTCCTAGAGAACTGTCGAATGTCATCTAACCATGGGCCGAACGCTTGTTGACATTGCTTCTTGTGCAGCACATTTCCGTGGCAAAACACAAGGAAGTCGTCATCAGGGTTCATTCTAAAAAAAAAAAGAACAAATACATGATCAGAATTTATTAGACAAATTTAAATGGTGATCTGAGACTAATTTTGGTCTAGATCCGGGACCTTGACGACTATATTATGAGCGCACATCCATTCCCGTAGTTTCGATACTCAAAATGAATGTAGGCTATGCTAAAGGAAGAAGGGTCGTTTCTCAAGATCCAGTACTGACACATTCACGAGGAATAACCCGTAAGGACTATATATATAATTGCATGCGCTTGTTATAATATTAAAACAAATAATTAAACCAATTCCAATACCTTTGTGCAATTTTAAGTATGAAAAGTTCGAAGCTTGCAGATTTGAGCAGCAATTCCTGGTCTTCAGGGCAAAGGTCGGTGAACCCTGGTATCTTGCGTGCCCAAGATTTTATGACGTCAAGGGAGGAACACAGATGATTGTAAAATTGCTTAACTTGTTCGGCGTAAACCGGTACAGAACACGACGTTTCGGGCAAAGCAAACTGTAAATGACGTCAACATTTAAATATTCATTAATGAAGCAAGTGTGATTTTATCTAACAAAAACACACACTATGTGAACGTGGAAGATATATAAGAAAAAAAAAACCAAAGTTCATCCAACTTTCACGTGACGTCATTTGCAGAATCACAAACAGGATCTAGATAATCGACTAAAGGCGTTTTCCGGACCTACCTGATCATAATTGAAGTCCGCTTTAGCTGGAGAAGCATCCACGTGGGCCCTCACTAAGGCTGTTATGAGACTGATTGGTGGAGAGGGTGGTGCTACATCCGGACTACGAGGTTTGGTTGGTAGTCGACCTCGTCTTCCTTTCAGGTCATTGGTCCTTACAACTGAAACATCGACGCATTATAATAATGTTTATCAAACAATAACGGCAGCAATATTGATGACGTCATGTAAAATATTAGATGCAGCGTGATCGTTAACAGCTTGATTAAGCCTAATAAATTCGGTATAGTGTATGGTATCTAATAAAAAATCGTACGAATAACGATATTGTATTACAAAAACACGTTAAATATTTTGAACGTTAACATATGGAGAAATCTCATAATTAACCGGCGCCATTAACGAATATTTTGAATAAACTGTTTAGAAAGAAGAAAAACGATATTAATCAATTAATTCTATAATGCCTTACTATTATTTTTGTTATTATCATCAACAATAGGCCTACGGTATCGCCCAAACAGCTGAAAAATATAACGGCGTATACATCCGGTCTAATTTGCCTCCCAAATTTAGGCGGACAAAGCATATTATAATACTCTATCAAAATTTGTTTCTTAATCATAATGCAATCACCATTTTGTATTACGCTCTGCTTTATATATTATAGCATATCGTTCGTATCTGTCTTTGACCTCCAAGCTCAATATTAAACGCGTTTAGAAAACGCATCGCAATATATTTTAGATAAGGATGGCTAGTGGAAATACCCGAATTAAAAACATTTTCTAGGCCTACTAATGTGTTTCACATTGGATTTTTTAAATTAACATTTTTTTTTTATTTCTTACCTTCCTTGACCATGCCAACCGCTAAACATTTTTGAAATCGGCAGTACTGGCAGCGATTTCGTCTCCGCTTGTCCACTGGACAACTTTTTGTCCCAAGACACACGTATTTAGAATTTTTTTGCACCGTACGCTGCGGAAAAAATACCCAATTCATTTAAATAATGTGTTATAAGCTAACCATTTCTAAATATATTAATGATTTGTTGCAGGGCTACATCTGACACCTACCACAAAGGCCTAGACCCCCGGTCTGTTCTGATACGAAGAGATAAACAAATGAAAAATCAATTCCATTTGAAATGTTGAATGTGTATCTTTAAGTAAGTTATTATAACTTACAATCGAAAATTTGAATGAGAAAAAAACATTCTCCGTCATTTAATGGGTACACTGTTATTTTGAAGGAGTTATTGTAACTCCAAAGGAGTTATTCTGTACCTAAAAAAAGGTACAGAATAACTCCTTTCGAGTTAAAATAACTCCTTCAAAATAACAGTGTAGTTAAATACATTTTTCTGTATTATTTTGCAGACCCTTTTCATTGGTAAATATTAAAGACTTTTTAAGTTAAACAGTCTGTAATTCATCGAAAACTATTTGTTTTTTCTCAATCTGTTGATTGGTAGTTACTAACTTATTTGATCCTTTGAAATAAGCTTTTTGGCAGACATGACGTCTTGAAAAAAGAGTTGATGAAACAATAATATATTTACCTTAAAGAAGCCTTTACATCCTTCGCAGGTTCTTACACCATACAGGGCTACATCTGACACCTACCACAAAGGCCTAGACCCCCGGTCTGTTCTGATACGAAGAGATAAACAAATGAAAAATCAATTCCATTTGAAATGTTGAATGTGTATCTTTAAGTAAGTTATTATAACTTATAATCGAAAATTTGAATGAGAAAAAAACATTCTCCGTCATTTAATGGGTAGTTAAATACATTTTTCTGTATTATTTTGCAGACCCTTTTCATTGGTAAATATTAAAGACTTTTTAAGTTAAACAGTCTGTAATTCATCGAAAACTATTTGTTTTTTCTCAATCTGTTGATTGGTAGTTACTAACTTATTTGATCCTTTGAAATAAGCTTTTTGGCAGACATGACGTCTTGAAAAAAGAGTTGATGAAACAATAATATATTTACCTTAAAGAAGCCTTTACATCCTTCGCAGGTTCTTACACCATAATGTTGACAAGCTGCACTATCCCCACATACTGCGCATGTACCGTCCTGTGGTGGCCGCTGAGGTGACGTAGCCCCATTACTGCTGCCACCGATAGAAGATGTCGAGATTGGACTCAGTTTCGACGAAGCCAGTGCCGAGGAGGTCCGATCATGACTATTCCTTGTTGGCATTGGAGATGGTAACGTAGAGGGACATGGAAAATGTTGCTTAGAGAACGTGCATGGCGCTGATGTTGTCGACGGAATGTCTTGGAATGAAGCGTGTGGAGGATAGTCCATACCAACGTTAGCCCATGCAATATTCATTGAAGTTGATGTTTCAATTTCGTTGCTATCATGTTGAAACGGTACTGATTCCATTGATACGAATGATGGCGGAGGCGTCAACGGATCATGAGTAAAGTGCACTGGAGAGTTCATCTCTGTGTACGTATTTTGTGGACTTTTTGGCTGTCCTCCAAAAGGAAATTTGTGATTAATATTTGTACTATGAAAAGACGGGGTGGGTGGCGGTGTTTGAGTTAAATGTTTCATAGTATTTGACAATGTCTGTTGCTGTGGTGACGTCACAGTGTACGAAACAGATACGGGTTGGTCTGCGTCCAAGAAAGTTGATTGAGGATACGCGTCTATACAAATAGGTCCAGATACTGAAGAATTCATAGTAAGCGAATCATCTGACGATCCCTGGTATTGCTGTTGATTGCTAGCTTCCGAATCGAAGTTGGCCGCGAACTGTTGGCCGTAAGTATCGGCAAAACTCGGTAGCATTCGGTCAGCGAACACATCGATTGAACCGTAGTATTGTGACGTTTGCATTTGCTGTTGTGACGTCACCGAGGTAAAGTTTGAGCTTGGACAGCAGTTGGCTGACGGTGTACCATATATGCACGTACATGAAATACCCTGCCTTGAAATAGTGTCATCTAGATAGAAAATTAAATATATACATATATTATAAAAACTCCACTTACTGTAGACGTCATATAATCGTGAACAACAAGCAGCCTATGCTAAGCCTATGCTTAAACATTTTGGGCTATAACAAGTTTCCCACCTTGCATGTTATCGCTACCGAACTGTGCTTGACTAAGAAATCCGGAAGGGTAGGCAGATTGCATTCCCACCAGCATGATCGAAGACGCCTGGGTAACTGTTTCTGTTGGAGTTTCCGGCGTTCTGAAATGTACAACATAAACTGTTTAATAACTAAAAGCTCCCTCGTTCTGTAATTTGCAACATTAAACCCATGGGCTCAAGGGGAGCTTATGGAAACATTGCATTGGTGCCTGTTAAGTGTTGCTGGTAGACATCTAACACCAAGGGAAATCGATGGTAACTGCTCATTGATCAGAACGGTGGTAATCAATTATAGTACATTATTACTGTACGAAAATCTGTGCAATTAAATTGCGTGGCGATATAAAGCGCCACAATAATTAGGACTAACATAAGTAACACACAACTCTCCAACATGTCCAATTATTGTAAAACATTACACCATACATCTCTGGCTTAGCGATACAAAAAAAAATATTATAAACGCTGCATAACGTGTAAACTAGCATATCGAAGTTACAAATAGGCATATTACCATACTGTCACCTATTTAAAGCTCCACAAATCTAGTCGGCTATTGGTGACACACTTAAAGTTAAACATGTTTAGACTTAGCCTAAAATGTGCTTAGGATCTTACGTTTAAAAATGCCTAAGTATTTATAGGCCTATAATAATTATATCAAATACATAAACACTGTCTATGCTAAAAATGTATGCTAAGTACATTATAAACTGAGTGACACGTCTAAACTTTCACCGAAGTGGGACCAGATTGCATATGTAGCCTGTGTCTAAACTCTCCACATGCGCGGTAAAGACATAATGTATGTATGGCTATAGTACACATTCAGTAGCATATCACCGGGCAAATATTGCTTTTTTGAAAGCCATCGATAAAATAACGTGTCGCTTTTTAACTTGAAACTCAGAATAGTATGCTTATACTTTAAGGCGGATTTCGAAAAGACGTTAAGTGTTCCTACTAATGAGGAGCGCAAAGCAAAAGACAGCCAGGTGACAGTAGCAAACGCAGATATAAAGAAGATAACAGTAGTACAAAAAGCTAAGATGATGATGAGAGAAATTCGATTGGATCGAGTACATTTTAAAGATTAAAAAATGCAAATATAGGCCCTAGACAATCTTCGCATTTCAAATCGCTTTCTCAGAATAAAATTCGAAACGTGTCAATGTTTAATCTCAAGTTTCGATACCAAATAATTTGATTTAAGTTCACTGTGAGGCGCTAAAATAATAACATAGTGTCCCAAGAAAAGAACGAAGAAAGAATCGCAACATCTTCTTAGCATCCTCCATTGCATTTGGGTACACACCAATCAGTGAAATTTGATTGAAGAGACGGTGTTGAGATGTAGGCCAAGTCAGTGCCGCCGACAAACATAAGTCCACATTATAATTCCCAAAATGTTGATAGACCTTTTAACTTACCTGGTAGGCCTAATCAACTGATGACTGGTGGAACCAAACATGAAAATATATCAACAAGAATATTAAAATCCAAGAGCCGACAACGATTTAATTGTTTGAGAAGAGAACACTAGTTGCGAACCGGCAAAGGCAAGGCGCACTGTCTCAATGAGAAGTTTAAGAGAAACAATTGTATTGGAAGATTAGCGCGCATGTACATAATCGCCGTACGATTTTACCATTGACTATATCGCCTGCAGGGCTTCTGTTCCGCTATGACGCAAACAGTCCACAACCATTTGCTTGGTATAAATATAAATGATCTTCACTGCGCATGTCTCCTACGTCGTTGGAATTCTAATAATAAACCGTCTACGTAATAGATCGCTGCTTCCCATCTCTTGTTTCGTGAACCGATCATAGCTTGCGTAGTTAGAAAATATATGTCGGCTCCCTACGTCAGAGCTAGTCAGAGTAAATGATTACTCCTTAGCACTGATAAAGCGGCATCAACGATTGAATGGGCCTGGGTCGATGGAGCTTCTCTACCGTTATTCATTACGCAACTATGACATTTCATGACGGGTTTTTATGGCTGTGACGCGCAACCGCGTCGTCTTAGTTCAATTTCGAGACAATACTGCACGAGCAAAATATAATGAGAAGATAAACGAAATTTATAAAATAAGCTATGTGCACGAAAATGATGCAAAGCATATCAGAAAATTGAAGTAACTAATATTAAAACCAAATTGATGGATAGGCCTAACAACACCCTGTCATAATTTCTTCAAGAGGATCGACGGTATGTTTCCGTAGTAAAATATATAGGCCTAATATGTTTTTTAATCCCTGTTAAATATCCACTAATCAATTTTACATATAATATTAGATAAGAGGCGATCTATAATCTAAGCAGGTCTTTCGTAAACAGAATGTTTCTAAATATCTTAAAAACCTTTTTCTTTTTTGAAACCAAAATATACATTTAAGGAAAATCGATGTGGATTTGCCAGAATATAGGCC